GGCATACGTGGGCCCAGTGGAGCATTCAAATTGGAGTGCGCAAGTGCGCGGCGCGGCATGGATCGTAGAATGAAAAGCAGTTAAAACAAACATTTCAAGCAGCTGCAGTCCCAGTGTGATGGCTCTGGCAGCACTCGAGCTGGCAAAGTTCTGTGCTCAGGAAAACGAATTGGTTTTCGTATAGACATGCGTCTCAAGCAGCTTCCAGTCGAAATTGCTGTTCCTAGCTCCAGTAGATCTCGAGATTTGATGACAAACCCCAAAAGCGAAAAGGCACTTCTAGCAGTATTTTGGTAGGGTATGTGGAATTTATATCAGCTTATCTCGTATCCTAGAAAACTTAGCTCACCTATCAAATTTTGGGCAGGTGCATATAGCCCTTTGCCTACATTTTCTAGGGTACAACAGCAGCTGGCCGACTGCAGCAGTTGGCCCAATCTTTACACGTTCCATGCACCCAGTCGATAAACAACACACACACACACACTGCAAAGTTGAGCAAGTAAATAGCTGCACCGCATCGAGCATGGCGCATGGAGCATATGGAGAACTGCATTGATTTCAGGGTCGGCAACTCGTTTGCTCATGCAAAGGCTGAAATGATGCCAACAGGTGCTCAACATTCTTGGCATAGTTGTGTGAGAGCAATGCAAGTGCCAAGGGGGGGCTGCAGAGGCAACCTCTCTCTCTCTCTCTCTCTCGCTATCCCGCCTTGATTGCTCTATTGTAATTGCGCAGTCAGCGCCTGGGCGGGGGGTAAGAAAGTTGCCAAGAAATGCAATCTCATTCATGCCATTTGCTACACGGCAAAGGAATGTTCATGAAAGCAAATAAGACTACATACTACAACAACAACAACAACAAAAGAGATTAATAATTATTGATTATAATTGATCTTGGCTCGAAGATCAAGCGATAAATCAAACGATGCGACGGCTCTAACATAAACCTAGACAACATCGAGGATCGCATGGGCGCAGACTGTATCTTCTACTCAAAGGGCTCACCCAGCTTTGCCTTGCCTATTTCAGTTGCCCATCCCAAACAAATTACTTGGCATATTAAAATTATTGTTATTGTTATTATCGAGTCTTCTTCAGGTCTACAGCTTCAGCTTGTTTATTTATTGTCCCCCTGCGCCTGGCCAGGCAGATCAATCCCCGCTTCGAATCTCGTCCTTTTCATTCTCATTCAAGTTTTACCTTGCTTAAATTCAGTTTGATCCCATTAAACGTCATCTGATGTGAATTCATTGTTATTTGTTAATTATATCATGTACTCTATACTTATAAAATGGAAGTTTTGCATACGAAATTATAATTTTAACAACTTAAAAATTGCATGTATTGCCTTTGCGCTATCTCCATCTCGCTTTCACTAATTCAGTAATCCGATTTATAAGGCAACCGCCTCGTATTCAAACAGTTCCTGGTTTGAGTCCTGCCAGAGATGGCCTTTCCATATAATAGAATATATGTTTTTATTTTTTTATTTTTAGCTTTGTTGCGTAATTGATGTAATATATTCATGTGATCCACCTGTTGTTGTGCTGTGCTCCACTCACACGCCCATCTGAAACGTTCTTTTATACTCAAAGTATTCGGCTAGCTTATCAGCATAAAGAGTTGTCTTCTACTGCTTCTTCTTCTTCTTCTTCTGCTTCTATGTTGGGGTCTAGAGAGCTTTTGGCTCTTTGTTTAGTTTGGCCTTTGTTTTGCATTATGTCACGTTTCTCGAACTCAAACACAATCACACACGCACGCTTAACAAGAAGACCTGGGCTAATGGAAATGCTGGCGCCAGCATCGCAATGCAAAGTGACCACAACAACAACAACAACAACTTAATAACTGCCCAACAATTTGTTTAACAATCAGTGGGCTTTGTGTCTGGCTGGGTCTTTGCCTTTGTCGTCGGTTTTCTATACCCTTTGCATAGAATTTTTATAGCTTCATAAGCAATTACGGGTAGAGAGCAGCCGCCAGTCGACTATTCTCGTGCGGAGCTTGTGGCAGACTTCGCTTGCAGCAGGAATGCTCATTGGCCTCTTAGGTAATTGTCGCCAATTCGTTGCGTGACTTCTGCTCAGTTGATGAGCAACATTAGCAACAGCAACAGCAACAGCCGCAATCAACAGCCAGCAACCACAGCAACAATAGCCCCAGGCATCCATTTGTGTGGCCTCGATTGTGGCATAGCCAGCAGCTACAGCTCGAGCTGCTCTTCTCCTTCCCACTCTTCTGGTTACTTAAAATGATCTCAGATGGCGTCGAGGACAGCAAGAGTTAAATATATTAAATTTAGTGTAAAGCAGCCTATGGAATTAAGGGAGATTGGAAATATTTCACCTTCTGCTTAAAAGTTCCTCTGTTAAGTGTGTGATGTATCTCTTGTCTCTAGTAGAGCCACCCAAGGCGAGCACAACTGGATGGATAGCCTTCATAAAGCCATCAACTACCGCTACCCCTCTCTCCCTCCCTCCCTCTCTCTACCCTCTCTCTACCTAACATAGAGTCATCAACTATCGCTCCCTCTCTCTCTTTCTCTCGAGCGTAGCGTGACAATATTAGGTTCTGTAAGGATCTAGCCCAACTATCTGAATACCCTATAAAATATATAAAATACTATAATGTATATTTATTTATCTCTCTCTCTTTCTCTCTGCCTATCCTTCTCTCCCTCTGTCTCTCTTTAAATACCATTAACTATATATATTTATCTCTCTCTCTCTCTCTGTCTTTCACTCTCTCTCTCTTTCTCTCTCTCTCTCTGTCTCTCTCTCTCTGTCTGTCTCTCTCTTTCTCTCCCTCCATCTCATTCGATTACTTCTCTTATATCATGAGACAATGATTGATATTTGTTTGCATTTCACCTATTTTCTTTATCGAAGCAAGGGGCGTGCTGCTTTGGGGCGTGACTTTCTCACGCCAGTTACAACAACAACAACAACTGGACACAGTTTACAAAAATGATTGAAATATTATCAAAAAACAAAACTGAAATTGAGTTTTGTTGTAAAAAGAAAGCGGGCTAAAGCCAACTAAATGGCTACAGCTGCCATTTGTATTGCGTGTGCTTGAAGCTGGACCAAAACCCCGCTGGACCATGCCCACTATTCAAACTCCTGCCCAGTTCGGCCTCTTTCGTCTTTGATGTTGATGTTGATGTTGATATTGAGTCGATGTCAGCTGCAATTTCTGAAGAATTTTAATCAGGCAGCCGAAAGAAATTGTAAATCGATATGTGTATAAATAACTGTATGTATGTATATGTAGTTATGTGTGCATGCTAGATCATGTGTGCATGCTGATTGCCAGTCTCGAAAATTGCGTTTGCCACAAATTGTTGCAGTTGCACGCAACAATCGAGGCAATTGAAATGCCTGACCAGTCAACAGTTGCCCCTGCCCACTGCTAGCCCCTCTCTGCCCCCTCTCAACGACTGTGCCCACTGTCAGTTCAAGCTTCAGTCATGCCCCATCATAACATTTGGTAAGCGCTGAGCGCACAGCGCCTCGCTTAGCATGCAAACGAGCGGCTTCTTCACCTGGGCAACAGGTGCATTCGCATTAGCGTTCTTTATGCTCGCTCAGCCAGTGCAAGGCGGGCATATAGGCTCAGGCCATCAACAGGCAGTTTCAGAGATTCGCTAAGGAAGAGGAAGAGGGGTGTGGGGGCTTCGATTCCCCATAAGTTAAACTCTTGCTGAAGCGTGAACGAGCATTGGGCAGTCAGTATGGCTGCTTTTCATTGCAAGCTTGTGGTCGTTTGTGGCGAGTGTAGCATGTGGCATGTGGCAATTAGCAACGTTGCAGCCATTTAACAATTAGCATAAGCATTAAAGCACTTGAACTCTGTGAAGTGAAGAAGCTACATATACATAGAGATATTAATATGTATATGCGTATGCGGGATCTGTGATATAATGCAATAGAATGGACAGAAAGAATATTCATTTGAATGAAAAACTAAGAAAGATTAGTCAGATATTCAATATAATGTATAGATATAGATAGATAGATAAGCAACAATATCTATGGTATAATGCTAATGGTTCGATTGAAAACAATTCCGAATTGAAATTGATAATCGATTGAAAGATATGTTTGACTCGATTGAAAGAGATTATCTGTTGAAAAGAAGTCTCGGCAAACAGAGATTCCCCATTGTAATAGATTCTCTGTTCAAGATGACTCGACATTGTAGGACAGCTACTCGATTGAAAGAGATTTTTATTCACAAAGATATTCGATTGACACTAAGTCTCTATTGAAGGAAGACACATAAAAAAACCATAAATACGCTATTAATATGAGGGTATATACAATATATTCACATTGCAACTCAGTCTAATTAAACGTATCCAAGTCGAAGCCATTTGAGTCAAGTTCGTTGTCCAAGTCTTTCGTTTTGCGATGCGTTCATGAATGAGTTGAGTTGCGAATGAATGCGAATGCATTTCGATTGTGGCAATTGCATAATCAGAAGTGGGCAATGCGTCCGTCCGGCTTCTCAAGTCGAGCTTGGCCCACATAGCTGCTCACATTCTGATATGCGGGAACTTTCACTGTGGTCCGGTTTGGTCTGCCAGATGCGAAGCGCATGTCGAAGTGGCAGTTGGAGTGGAAGATGCCAGATGGAACGAGCCACCACATTGGCCGTGTTTATAATTTTGTTTGTGCTGCGGGAATTCTCAGAGACGGCTAATTGCCAGCGACACGGCAGCCGTCACGACTTGAGAAGACGGCGGCTCTTCGTACATGCATACCCTGTGTTCGCTGCAAACGTGTGCAGGGAGTATACGCGACTGTCGGACTGTTTTATGAGCTCTTCTCTTCAGTTCCAGCTCGGAATTGCCTGGGTATCTGCTAGTCGTGCCACCAGAGTGCGCCGTCAACACACTTAGCTTGTTTTCTTTGGCATTCGAGCGATGCGGAGGTGCGGGCGTCGTCACATTAAGCTGTCATATTCTGATTGTTGTCTCTTCTTGCCTTCCCCCAGCCTCTGCGTGCAGCCGCCATGCCAGCAGCGAGCGTCGCCAGAGATTGAGCGCCTGACATTGTGAGAGATCGTGGGGCCTTTCGGATGCCAGCCATAGGCGTCGCAATCAGTGGTAGCTGCCCCGCACGCACAATGGCCACCCATGGCACGCCCCTGACCGCCAGCTCGCTCTATCGGCCGTCGAGCGGTGCGAGTGGTGCCACGCCCATTGCCGCTGCGGTTCATTATCAGCCGAAAGCATTCGCCGCCGGCGCCGTTCAAAATGGAGCGGAGCGCAGTCGCCTGCTGGAGCTGCTGCGAGCGCCCAACAATCTCACCTCGCCCACACTGGAGCCCTCGTCTAAGGGACTGCTCAATGGACCAGGACAAAACAATTGCTTCCTCAATTGCGCCGTTCAGGTGAGTTCATATGCCCAAGCTCCTCTATAGACTTGTATTATGAATTACCATTGAGGAATATATTATCGACTTATCGATTTATCGCAAATTATCGATCATGTGAAGTGCATTCCATAAGAATGCCCGCATGTGGAATATACATATGTATAAAAAGGAATATCTTGAATACATTCACAGCTAGACTAAGCCAACTTACAATTACCTTTAAGGGATATATTATCGATTTATCGATTTCACGCAAATTATCGATCATGTGAAGTGCATTCCTCAAGAATGCCCGCATGTGGATTTCCTACTTTATCTTGTATACATTCACAGTTTGATATCGATATTTATCGATAACCATTATGCGAAACCAAGAGACAGTTTAACTTGCTCTCTGTCTCTCTTTTTCTGTGGGCCAACTTAACTATTGGCCAGGCCTATTTTCACAGCTTGATTATACCCTAGTTAGCCATTCGCAATGGGCATTTACGAATTCTCAACACATGTCGCATCTTTGTGATTTGTGATTCGTTTGCGGCCAATTCCGATGATGGCCCCAATTGACGCTGTTGTCTTATCTTTTGTTTTGTCTTCACTCGTAGTTCGCAGCCTTCGAATCGAAATCGTGTTAATTTGCTGCTCAATTTGTGGGCAATTTCAGAGTGAGTCAAGCAATTGATGTGGGCGAACCTTAAAAGGTAGCCAAAGCAAGTCGCAGCAAGTCGAAGCAAGGCCAAGGCAGCGTCAGCCTCTGACCAATTACTTTACATAGATATGCTTAGATATTGTATTTACACACATATATATATACTGTGTATGTATATCGCTTGCATGTTCTGATCCCATCTACAAATGAGGGCCATCATCAAGCGAAAGGCTGCTGGCTCTCAACTCTCAGCTGTTGTCTAGGAAAAAGTGCCACCCAGTTGCATAAATTGAGCCCCGCTCGCATTGCAGTGAGCATAAATTTGTATATTTATGATTCTAACGATTGTTTCCGAATGGGGGCCCGAGAACCCGGGCGCTAATGCAAATGCAGTTGCAATTAACAACAACAATTAGCCGAGAGCAACAAGAAATGGGACGGCTCGACACGATCTGGAGTAAGTCTAGTTGGCGCCATGTTGAAGAGGTAGAGTCCCCAGGTGCTACAGAAACTGCTAAGGAGTAGGCACTGAATACATGGAAAAGATCTCTGACAGGTATGTTATCGATTAATGGAAGAATGAATTATCGATAACCATAAAATTAACGATAGGCATCTAAAATATAATATGATACTATATACGATATACCTAATACCATATACGATGCACGATATATCTAATGCTATATATGAATAATGCTATATTCGCTGTTCGATAGACATTAGTCGATTGACAATATACAATACGTACCCTATTCACTGGCATGACTCATTGTCTGCATGGACAATAGTAATTGTGTCGGACTAAATCACGTATTTTCATACTCGCTCACAGAGTCGAAAGCGAGTCTATTGGCTTAAATGATATTAAGTTGAATATGATATTTGGAGGGCTTGCCCTATTGCCCTGCTCTACAGATACATCCACAGATTATTCAGCTGCGACTGACTGGAAATACTTAAATGTAAGAGCGAGCATTTCCAATCGGATATGCCCGATCGTAATGTTCTGGCTTTGTTTAGTTTTTCGATCAGTATTTACTTATTTTTTGTGACGGGAGCAATTGAGAGATAGTTCGTAACGTTTGAACAGTTAATTGTCGCGCACGCCTAGTAGCTGATCCAGTTTAAAAAGGGGTTGCACGGCGGGTGGGAGGTGGATTTGGGTTAAGGGGCGCTCGGTTTTGGGTTGGGTTCGCTTGGCTCTGGCGCCTTTCGAGGTGCGGCCTAAGCCTAGCGCACAGTCAAACTAATTGAGCGTATGTATGTGATATATATACATATGTATGTGTATATCGGTATATGTGTATATAAATGGGGCGTGGCAGCAGCAAGAAACAAACAATGCTATTCAAAATTGTGGCCAAGAGATTTTATTTGCGCGCCGTCGAAGCGTCGTGCGTCAAGCCTAGCTACCACCAGCTGCCACGCCCACGCGCCCCATCGAGCCAGCCGACTCCCCAGGCCGCCTATCTGTTGCCCCACTAGCAGTCACGCCCACAAATAGCTGTTGCTGCTGTTGAGTGTCTGTTGACAAGAGAGACAACAAAAGTGTTGAAGATCTCAGGGTGACAATTCGCTTGCTCGACTAGCCGTATACCCTGTACAATCAATGCGGACAGGCGGCAGAGCTAAATATAGCCCATATTCGTTTATAAATGTTACTCTAAGTCCAATATGCTCTGGGCATTTGTCACCGGCAAATTGTGCTATATAGCACGACAGTTAGATACCCTGTATGAGACATGTTGCGATCAAACTCTCGCTTGATGAAGATTTACGTTATTGAAATCAAGTTAACTGTGCAACGAGTCCATGTAGTGAAAAGTCGCCTAGCAGACGTTTACTCAACTGGGAGATACCCTGTAATGTAATAACATCATATGCGGGCATATACATGCATATGTGTTAGATGATTGGGACTTAAAGACAATTCTATAAGCTAACTACTTGACTAAAGATAGCCTGGCGCATAAATACCCTGTAAAAAGTCAACTGGTGTGTATTCGCTTAATATTCAATCGAGCCCTGCCTCACTCACAAATACTCTGTAAGAGTGAGCACGTTCTTCATAGACTTTAGCTATATATTTGCAGCATTTGATGGTCTTTGTTCTCGTTTGTCGGTTGTTTGGCGCATAAAAAGCGTTAGACGAACTATTAGTAACAGTTTTTGGGGCTGCGCTTCCGTTGCAACTGGCAAGTGGCAAGTGGCAACTGGCAACTGCTGCATGCAGCGACTGCTGTAAGCGCTGAGAACAGTCTGATGATGATTTCACTTGATATGCTTTTAATGTGTTTCTTTTGCCAGGCAGTCAACTGCAACGCCAGTCCAAGCCCTTGACGACACAGCAGAGGCAGAAGAGACAAAAACTGCTGCTTCTTTTCCGCCCTCGTCTTCGTTGTTGTCGTCGTCTTCTTCCTCTTCTTCTTCTTGTGGTGTAATAAAGTAGCAGCAACAGCCATCATTTTCTTTGGCTTCAATTTCAGACCGAAGACGGTCAACAATCAGTCCAAGACGCTCGCTGCATGATATGCCCCTGGGCAGAGCAAGAGCGAGAGCGAGCGAGAGAGAGGATGGGAATGAAATGAAAAATGAGTGGGGCATATTATGCTCATAGACATCACACATTATTTCACAGCTCCATATCTTTATATCTGTATCTCTAGCTCCGACTCCAACTCCAACTCCGACTTTGACTCTGACTGTGTCTGGGAGTCGGCTGAGATTAGTTCACACGATAAGCCAAACAAACGGCTAGACGCGGACACCCGGCCGGCCACTTGTTTGCAGAGCGTTTAGAGCTTCGCTTTCCGCTTCGCTGCCCGTCGACGGCATCAATTATGAAACACAATTTGATTGTCTTCGTGTTTGCATTGACTTTTTGCCGCCGTCTGCGATAAACCAACTGCCAATTGCCAGTTGCCAATAACCAATAGCCAATTGACCATTGCCAATTGCAGCTGACTTGTGCGTGCCCCAAATGCAAAGCTAAAGAGCAGCTGCAGCTGCAGCAACGAATTCGTATTCACTTTTGTTGCAGGTGGCAGGTGCCAAATTGCCAAAACTGAGCCTAATTAAGCGCAGATACCCTGTAGTCAGCTGTGAAGTAGAGAGAGAATAGAGAGAGAATCTTATTCATTGTATTAGTAATGTAGATAGTCGGCAAACGAAAGAAGATACCCTGTATACAGCTCTAACTCCCAGAGAGGCAGGCAGTTGGCTTTTACAGGGTATCTGCATAGATTCAATATGCGTAATGCAGAGCTACTGCTATCTCTTCATATATTTTTACAGGGTATATGAGGAGAGCTAAAGCCTCTACCCTCATATATTACGACACTTCAATTAGTACAGGGTATTGAGCAGTTGCGCTCTGCTACGCTGGTTACGGCTGAGGGCGCTGCCTGGGAACTGCGTGCATGTCTTTGGCTGCTGCTTTTTCTGCTCCTTCTTCTTATTCTTGGACGACTCCTGTGCGATGTCTTCTTCCTGTCTATCTCTCTCTCTCTCTCCCTCTCTTTTTCCCTCTTTGTGCATTTGTGCAACAGGGGGTTTGCAGTTTGAGACGCGTCTTGGCCATGCTTAATTTAACAAATGCATGTTTAATCAGCACACACACACACACACACACACACACACACACACACACACAGACAGAGCACACTCACACACACACACACACAGTCAGACAATTTATGTTAATTTATGCATTTGTACTTACGTTGGCCGTAAATTTATTTCATTCTTTTTTGTGTGTCTCCCTCGTATTTCGTTTAACAAGTTTATGAAACAGGCACGATGGTCATTATGCTAATGATCATTATGCGGCTGCAGATCATTATAAACATCATTACGAGCAATGTTTTCTTACTTTAGTTTTTAACTCTACTTTTTCATGGCCGAAATTGTGAGCGAGAAGGAGAGAGGCAGCAGGTCTTGACGGCTGACGGTTGCTGATTGTTGTTGTTGCAGGTTGTTGTTGTTGCTATAATTATAGCACCCAACAACAACAATCAACAGACAGCAACAATCAACAGCAATTCATGTTTGGCCATTCGAAAGTTTGTCCACAAGTTATGTCCAGTGTTCAATGAACCTTTTGATAACTGTTACCGTTTCATAACGAAAACAATTAAGAGTGCTCCAGTTGGGTATGCCTGACCACAAGATACCCAGCAGCAGCTGGGTGGAGCAGCTCTTTTCTCAGAACTTCATTGTGCATGGAGCGGAGTGTGAAGGCATAGAGGAATATGACAATAGAAATCTGTATGCGTGCTACGAGTATTGAGAGTAATTTATAAACGATATAGGGACTACGACGCTGTGGAATGACAGCCGTACAGTTGAGCAGACATACAGAGGTTAACGATTCTATTACTTGAAGTGGGTGTACTCTCTCTCTCTCTCTCTC